AGGTTCGAACATAAAACGAACTGGTTTTTAAAAGTTACCGCTTGTTTGTTTTTTTTAGGTCTTAACGGATATTCTGACCACATGGAAGTGTAAAAGTGTAGGCTATGAATAATTATTAACCGACCTGTTATAGATACCTTTTTAAACAAGCTAACTTTGAAGAAAATCTGACAGGAGCTAAGCTCTACTTGTATCTTGGTTGATACCCAAGTGGTGAGCACAAACTCAAACCCTACAGATTTCATAGCAGTTCACTTTTTTATAAAGGTCAGTCAGGTCCAGATGATCTGACTGACCATTGTTGGATTATACCCAGATTACTGAGCATGAACTTTGGTGTTTTGAACCGCTTTGACATGAATGTCTCAGAGGAGTTGACGAGGGAGAGGACGGGGCCTGGAAGACATCTTAGCACCAGCAAACTGTGTTTTTTTTCCACTTTTGAGTCAGTGTTGCCAAGTTTGCTTATTATAAGCGACTTTGGGCTTGTTTTTTCTAAAGTCGCTTGCAAATTGGCTCTGAGCCCCTTCTTGTTTGCTCTGGTGATGGACCGACTAACAGATGAGGTCAGGCAGGAATCCCCATGGACTATGCTGTTTGCAGATTACATTGTGATCTGTGGTGAGAACAGGGAACAGGTGGAAGAGAATTTGGAGAGGTGGAGGTATGCACTTGAAAGAAGAGGAATGAAAGAGCCGTAGTAAGACAGAGTAGATGCATGTGAATGAGAGGGAGGCAGGTGGAACAGTGAAATGGGGAATGTTGTAAAGAAGTAAAGAAGAGAGTCCAGGCAGGATGGAGTGGATGGAGAAAAGTTTCAGGAGTGATTTGTGACAAAAAGGTGTCAGCAAAGGTCAAAGGAAAAGTTTACAAGACAGTGGTGAGACCAGCTGTATTGTATGGTCTGGAGACAGAGATCTGGACAAAAAGACAGGAGAAAGAACTGGAAGTGGCAGAAATGAAGATGTTGAGGTTCTCCTTAGGAGTGACAAGGATGGAGAAGATTAGGAATGAGATCATCCGAGGTACAGCACAGGTTGAGCAACTGAGAGATAAAGTTAGAGAGGACACACTGAGATGGTTTGGACATGTCCAGAGGAGGGACAGTGGGTATACTGGTAGAAGGATGTTAGAAATGCAGCTGCCTAGAACAAGACAAATATATGGATGCAGTTAGAGAGGACATGGAGGTAGTTGGTGAGGACAG